GATGTAAATCTAAGGTTCCATCCTATGAGCAAAGGCTTTGGCGACAGTGGGAAGGAAAACCCTCCTTTTAACAGGAGGAAACCTGCAGCAGAACCAGGCTCAGGGAGGTGTGGCCATCTGAGCCAGAGATTAATAATAACTATAAAAATTACCCATCCCATTGGCTGGAAAGTGCAGAGAGGTGTATAAACACATAGTGAGTGAAAAAGGTGACTGAAGAAGAAACACAGGAAACTCAGGAGAGTTTTCTCCAAGCACGACATTCCAGTGTACTTCAGACCCAGCAACACACTCAGACAGAAACTGGTTCACCCAAAAGACAAACTCCAAAACACAAACTTAACAATGTGGTGTATGCGGTACAGTGCAGTGAGGAATGCCCAGACCTCTACATTAGAGAGACCAAACAACCACTTCACAAGCGCATGGCACAACATAGAAGAGCCACCTCCACGGAACAAGACTCAGCATTTCATCTGCATCTAAAGGACAAAGGTCACTCTTTTGAGGATCCAATGTTCACATTTTGGACAGAGAGGACAGATGGTTTGAAAGAGGAGTGAAAGAAGCCATTTACGTCCACTGTGAGTGACCATCTTTGAACAGAGGCGGTGGTTTACGACACCAGCTGTCTGCCATCTATAATCCAGTTTTGAGATCCCTTCCCAGACGCCTTAACGCCCACTCACATCCTGGGCCATCTGACCTCAGGAAATCACATGATAGGGTGGGGCCAGGTTTCACAATGAGCTCACCCGAAACCCTGGCTGATTGTGACCCACACCCGCTTTCACACCTTGGCTCATGTGATTAGGTAGAGGATCATCAGGGGGTCCTTTGTCCCTCTTTGGGGGGAAACTCCCACTGGGTTTAAATGTGGGACTCTCCACCATTTGACCCTTAGAACTGAAGAAGCTTCTCGGATGGGAGGTGAAACATCTTCAAGCAACTCAAAGAAGTCCAAACGCTTTTCTTTCCAAGCTCCTTAGACTACGATGACCTGGATGACTGAGAACCTTCACAGACACATCTCATCATCCCAACAACCCAAGATCACCATATTTATGAGTTAGTCTTACATAGTTACTTGTACTTTTTTTTTATAGACATTGAACAGTTACACTTCTTTGTACCTCTATTTAAAGTTTTTAATTACTTGAAGTCTCCAGCTCAGCTTTTGTTTCTGCTTCTGTAAAAAATCAGAACCAGGGTTCAGCCTTTGATTTAAGTGGAGACCCTTTTCTCTACTGTAAGAGAAGAAATGTGGTTATTTCGGTTCACCACACCTTCGAATATAGAGTTGTTGTTTTTTTAAAAATGCTGACTATGTACTTAATTTACATTCTTATGCTTACCTTTGAATGTCTTGCATGTTACTGTATTTGTAAATGTTAAATCAAACAGCTGCTGAATCCACCTAAAGAAGCAAGTCACTTGTTAAAAATGGGACATTGGACATTGATTATAAAATACTGGTGATGTTCATGAATAGTAATAACTTGCAAGACAAACTAATGATACTTGCTCCATATGGATAGCAGACAAGCCCTGTGAGATAAAATCTGTGTAAATCGTGACAGGGTATGAGGGTCGGGGAGTTGTACTGTAAGTAGGGTGTGTGCAGTGTAGCTGCTGTGGCCAGCAGCTGTGATACCATGCAGATGTGTGGGAAAATACAGGCACCAGCTGACCTTGCCAGAAGCTAAAAGGCCAGTGCTTCTTCAGAAGTCAGTCCAGCCTTTGAAGTGTTAGAGCGTCATTCTGGACATAAAAGGAGTGAGACGTCACAAAGCTTTGGTAAACCAGCTCTTAACCTGTCTCCCCTCTGCTTCTCTGGAGCCTCCAAGACAGATTACACACTCTGGTTTTGATCTAATAGCGACAAGTGGAGATATCATCTGAATATCAGGAGCAGGACCACTCCTCCTTCACGCCCCCTCTGGCCTCAGCCTATAAAAGCCCCCCTTGTCCAATACCCGCTGTTCTCATTTTCATGCCCCCCCCCCTGCCCCCCCCCTTTTTTGCTTTCCTCTCTTCTCCTGTCCTCTCCTCTCTTCCTTTCCTCCCTTTATTTCTAGTTAGTACAGGGGGTTCAGCCCGGCCCGAGAGCCATCGCCAGTCCCCTTCAAGGCCTTCCCCAAACCGCAGCACTAATCACACTTCCTCATCCCTCATCGCCCATCGTTACCAAGGGAGTGGTCCCTGCTAGTTAAGCACATCCATGAAGAAATGGTGGTTGAGAAGTTTTGTAAACTCTGGATTCATTTTACTGGACACATTATAACTCGTTTACATTTCCTTAATGAGCATAAAACAAATATTTAGAACAGTCTTATTTAGTTGGCTTTAGTCTTCATACCTGGTCATATGCTTTAAAGCCTGTTTAAGAAAGTAAATGCCAATTTGAAAAAATAATACAAAGTCTGATGAAGCAAGAAACATGAGCAGTCAGACAACTAAAAAGTTTTAAACAAAGCTGAAATGGCCACATTATTCTGGAAGAAGGCATCAAAATCTGCAGAGAGACTTTGATTTTAGATTTGGCCTCTTACTGAGCAGACTAGTGGTGAAGTATCGTGTGGGAGGTTGCAAACAAACAAAGAAAAAAACTGCAAGAAGAGGTTACCACCCTGTGAGATACACTTTTTAAACTGTAGCAGCTCCAGCACAGATGTCGCAGGTTATGAGCAAACCAAATGCAACCACTACCACAATGCACAGAGTGATCACACACAGATGGTATTCTGAAAGATCTGTAGTCAGTAAAATCTTATATGTCTATACTTGGGAGGTTTTGTAGACTACTGTACTTAATGTTACTTCAATGAAGATAGTCAGGTGAGCTTAAGGAAAAATGTATAAATGCCTTTTAATGCTTTTTGCTGGATCTGTGTCAATGGTCAATTATTTTTATTGAATGCCCAAATCGAGAATGGAAAGTATTCTTTTGTCTGCATTCACTTACATATGACATACCATTCTTATTCCATAGGGTTTAATGTGATGTTGGATCATCCTTTGGAGCTTCAACGTTTATGGGAAGGCTTCCCACATTGTTAAAGAGTGCATTTATAGGAATTTTTGACCATTCTTCCAGACGTGCGTTTGTCAGGTCAAATACTGATATTAGAAGAGAAGGCTTGGCTCATTCTAATTCATCCCAAGGGTGTTCTGTCGTATTGAATTCAGGACTCTGTGGCGGCCAGTCAAGTTCTTCCACACCAACCTTGCTCATTTATGTCTCTATGGACCTTGCTTTGTGCACTGGTGTGCAGTCATGTTGGAACAGGAGGGGCCATCGTTAAACTGTTCCCACAAAGTTGGGAGCATGAAATTGTCCAAAATGTGTTGGTCCAGTTTCACTGGAACTAAGAGGCAAGTCATGAAAAACAATTCCACACCATAATCCCTCTCCTAATAAACATTACACTTGGTACAGTGGAGTCAGACGAGTACTTCTCCTGGCCACCAACAAACCCAGGCTGACAGGTGCAGATGTGTGACTCAGAGAAGACGTCTCCACTGCTCTAGAGTCCAGTGCATCCGAAACTTTGCATTGCGCTTGGTGACGTCAGGCTTGGATGCAACTGCTCAACCATGGAAACCCATCCCATGAAGCTCTACACACTGTTCTTGACCTAATCAGAAGGCTATATAATCTTTGGAGGTCTGTAGTGATTGATTCTGCAGAAAGTTGCCGACCTCTGCCCACTCACTGCCTCAGCGTGCGATGACCCCGCTCTATAGCCTACCACTTTGTGGCTGAGTTGCTGTCATTCCCAACTGCTTTCACTTTGTTATAATACAACTAACAGTTGATTGTGGAATATTTAGTAGCAAGGAGATTTTATGAGTGGACCTGCTGCACAGGACTTCACTCGTGACAGCGAGCCTAGGTACTTGACCATGGAAGGGACAGGAAAACCTGAATTCAGTGATATGGATCAGTGAGTGAATACTTTTGGCAATACAGTATGTTCAAGATGGGAACAAAAACCACTTTGGTCATTATAGCTAATTACCAACTTTGTGAAAACTATAAGGTAACAGATTTTTTGTTTAAATAACAATTTAATTCAAAGTCTCTACACTGTGCATGATCTATAGTAGGTCAGCTTTGATTGGCAGGTTGGCTGCTAGCTGACTGCTAGCTGTTTGGTACCTTTAGGAACATTTTCAGTGCAGCAATCTGAGAAATAATTGCTGCATGGTTCATTATAATCTAAAAAAGTTTACAAGTGTTAGTGAAATTCTTTTATTATATTGGTACGTTATTGATGCTCATTAGCAGATTTGTATATTTGTTTGATACACCTCTGGGCACACCTTGCTAATAAAGCACTTCATGTTTTTGTCCAATGGGCTGCTTTAAAAAAGTGTAATCAGACAAATAAGTGAAAGCATGTGTAAGGATGTAATAAAAAAAAGGAAAAACAAAGGAACAAAAAAAAAAGGCCAAGTACATATATCATTTTAGTGAAAGTATATTCTTGCAGCAGCCACACATAGCAGCATAGTGAGAATATGTCACACATTTTTTTTTTATATATATAAAAAAATATAGTCAAACATGAAGCATGTGGTAGCATATGGGAGAGAAAGAAAAGGACAACTGCAGAAATAAGCCCCACATGTTTGGGGTTTTTCACACAGGAAGATAATAATCATCCTGAGTTACATTTAAAAATTAAACTCTTATAATAATTGAGTTTCACAAATCGTACCTATGTTACCTATGTCTGAACCTAACCTAACCAGTCCTAAACAAAAGTATCATATGGAGGAAAAAAGATCCCAACATATTCTTTTGTTTTGTGTTTTGCTTTTTGTGTGAGGTGTGTACTTTTCACTTTGAGTTGTGGCATATTTCTCACTGAAACCCCCC